TTAGAAAGGGGGGGGGGGGGGGGGGGGGGGGGGGGGAAATGTTGATAAAGTGGTTGAAGTGGACGTTAATAAAGTGGTTAATAAAGTGGTTTATTGAGTTTGCTGTTTATTCCCCATCTGACTAAGATGACGAGATAGAATCATAGAGGGGTGATGATGGCAACGGGATGGCTCGACCAATATCTAGGGGCACTCCACTATCAACCAGAACAATCAAACCTTTCCACCAAACCATTAGGATTATTTCGATAAACACCGCCCATGTTAAGTCACCCCAAACGCACCCCCAGTAGCATGTTACCCCAACCACATCACCTTCGCCCTACTTCATAATACCACATGCCGTAAGCCTTATTGCATCAACGACATCACCTTCGCCCTACTTCATAATACCACATGCCGTAAGCCTTATTGCATCAACGACATCACCTTCGCCCTACTTCATAATACCACATGCCGTAAGCCTTATTGCATCAACCACATCACCTTCGCCCTACTTCATAATACCACATGCCGTAAGCCTTATTGCATCAACGACATCACCTATGCCATATTACATCACCAGTTCCCTGTTGCCCCCATACCACATCACCTGTGCCATATTACCTAAACCACGTCACCTGTGTCATAATGTTATATCCCATGCATCACCCCTGCCCTCAGCTGAATCCCCCCCCCCTTCCGTATTGCGTGACATCATCATCAGTAGGATCTCGACCATTCGAATGCAATCATCTTAAGTTCTTCCGTTTGTCTTCATCAGGTCGGAGGATTGCCGAGACCCAGATTTACCTCGCCGCCATTCAGGTCAGTACTCCTCAAGGGAATTATCCTCTTCGTTACCAGGCACGGAAACATTACAAATCCCTCTACAAACATAGGAGCCACAATGAGCCATACATTGAACGTGGGCCCTTGAAATATAGAAGTAGAGGAAGCTCTTGTTCTATTTTTTAGACCATTCAGTTAACTCTTTGAACTTTTATTATTGTATAAAAAATGTGTATACAAATTTTAAACACGGGGCGCTGTCTCTCTCATCACCACCAACCCCCCCCCCCCCACACACACACCCCTCCGGCCCCCAGATGGACAGTTCTTATTGATTACATTTCTCTTCCAGGTACTGCAGAGGTTTTGGTTGAAGAAGAGTGACAAGTTTGACATCAGGCCTTCGGTCAGGACACAGCTGACCCCGGGACCGGAACTTCCGGTTATGTTCGTGGAGAGATAGACAAGTGGAGAGAGAGAGAGAGAGAGAGGGAGAGAGAGAGAGCGAGATAGAGAGGAGTGAGTTCTGGCGTCGCAAGATCACGTGACGCGTCTTGTGAGTTTATCTAACTTCAGCGCAACTCTCCAACCTTCGGGGGGGCATTAGGTCTGTCCGCCCACCAACGATGTACTCCAGACGTCAACTCAAAAACCAACCAACCAAACAAACAAACAATGGGGGGGGGGGGAAATAGCCCTTCGTTATTTTCAACTCCAGAGTAGTTAGCGACTTTCGGCAGGAAGCAGGTCTCAGGATGCAGGTCGAACCAGTGGACGGTCCGTTTCTAGTCACAGTGGGTAGATAATGCCTGACACGTGTGGACTCTTCCAATCTTCAACCAGTGAATGCAGAGACCGCAGAACAAACGTAGCCCTATAAACCAAAGAATGACATGCTCTTGTTGTTTTTTTTAAAGTGATTTTTTTTTTTTTATTTATTGCTGAAACGATGAGTTTAAAAGGCTGATGATGATAATATGATGACTAAAGGGGGAGTGCACTTTTTGTTTTGTTGCCCACTATGGGATGGGAGGAGGAGGAGGAGGAGGAGTGGGGGTGGGGGTGGGTGGGGGTAGGTGGGTGGGTGGGGTCTGTTGAAGGAATCTGCACTTTTGTAAATACCGCAGGTCTACTATTTGTCTGTGACAGCAGACTTGCGTCGCTACGTGTAGGACGCTGCGTGTAGGACGCTGCGTGTAGGACGCTGCGTGTAGGACGCTATGTGTAGGACGCTACGTGTAGGACGCAACGTGTAGGACGCTGCGTGTGGGACGCTACGTGTAGGACGCTAAGTGTAGGACGCTACGTGTAGGTCAGAGATTTCGTGTCCGCGTCAGCTAAACGATTGAATCACTTTGTTGAAATGAGGTATCAACACGGTTGATCAATATCTTGCTGTTGAAATGAGGTATCAACACGGTTGATCAATATCTTGCTGTTGAAATGTGTATCAGCATGGTTGATCTATGCCTTGATATATATGTCAGTGTTCAGTGGTGCAGTTTTAAGATATACAAAATATGGAATGTTTTTTTGTGTTTTGTGTGTGTGTCTGTGTTTAGAGTTTATGACGACAAATGGCTACCATTTCAATTTATGTTCAAATTACTTCTTACATGTAAATTGTGTTGATAAGTGTTCAGCTTCTATTATTATTATTATACAATATTTAAATTTGATTTAAAATTTTAAAAAACCCAATAAAATTAAACTTTAAAATGATTCATTTCTACTGAGGCGCCATCTGAAACTGTGGACGGGAAAATGTAAATATAGATAGTAGCAGGTGTCAACACACTAGATGGGTTCTCAATTTGCTGGGAGACCAGGGCCTCTGGCACAGGTTGAGTCTTGTTTAACAGAGTGGCCATTCCCCCCCCCCCATGTATGTTAGGGCAGTGTGCCCTTATCCTGTGCCCTTATCGTGTTCCTTGTGTTAAACGGCGGGCTAGAAGGTGCCCGCGGTGAGCTAGACAAGTGCCAGCGGTGACCTAGACAAGTGCCCCCTGGTGACGCATTCGTGTCTCCCAGCAATGAATTCAGGGGAGCTTAATTAATAAATTAGGCGCTAGGATACGGGTATGTCAGCCATATTGTGAGAACTAATATTTTGTCAGAATTATATGTCGAGAAATATTTTAAAAGGTAAAACAGACTTTTTGCCAGACAACGAGTTCTAGAAGTCTGATGAGATTAAAATCCTTCTATCTGGCCCAAGAGATTTTTTCTTGTTATTTTCTGATGAAATTGGAAAACAATTGAAGTGTTCATTGGTAAGCAAATGTTGTGTGAATAGACATTCTTTGAATAGTCATTCTTTGAATTGACATTCTTTGAATCGACATTCTTTGAACGGGCATTCTTTAAATAGATATTACATTAAATGGTCAAACCTTAAATTGGCATTCTTGTAATAGATATTCTTTGAATAGATAGACATTCTTAAAATAGACATCCTTTGAAAAGACAATCTTTAAATAGACATTGATTGATTAGGCATTCTTTAACGAGGCGTTCTATAAATAGATATTATAATTACTTAAAAAGTCAATGAAACATTCACCATTTCTGTTCGATTTCTTATACTAGCGTGAAAGGCTCACTATTTTATAATTGACAAAGACACAAGTGAATGTTTTGTTTAAGACATGATTGCATTGTTTTTTGACTAGACTAAAATGCGCTAATGGAAAGTGGGGGAATTTCACTTCACCATATAATTAGTGACAAGACCTCCTCAAGGGGCTTAGTGTTGTAAAGGGAGTAGGGTGGGGTGGCCCCTCGGGTGGTGGCTAGTACCCAGGTAGTTCTTTGACAGTAGCGCCCGGTACTGACATTTCGTTGGCTACCGAACAAATGGTTGTTACAACTACGACTGATATCTCATTGAGGCTACCTGCTTTGACATAATTAGCGCCCGGAACTAACAATGCGGTGGCCACCTGTCAGATGGTTGTTGCTACCACAGTTGACAGCTCATTGGCTACCTGCTTACATTGGAGTAGCTACTTACTGAGATTTCAGAAACCATTTTTTAACGCTGAGTCACTTCAAGTAGTGTTAAATAATATTTACTACTCATGTGTTCTTTTTTTAATGACAGTTGTAATATGATGTAATCATGTAATTTGAAGCTGTAACCTAGCCCAAATGTAAGTAGGCCTCTTACACTCAATCTATTTCCACACACAGCCGTCTGCCACCCTTGGATACACCCTTGTTTAGTTATCACTCCGTGCTGTGTGTGGCTCCCCACACGGTACTGA